CCCCCTTGTTTTTATTCGAAGGCATCCTAAAGAAACGAAGGGGAGTAGAAGACACTAATGAGCATCAGCACCGCACACCGTGCACGTTTGTCCCCGTAGCAGCCACCCCCACCTGACACCACAGCGGTGGAAGAGTGCTTACAGCACCACATCATCATAGAATCAAAGAGTTGGAAGAAACGCTATGTGCCGTCCCATAAAACACCCTCCTATTGCCCCAATAGAATCATGGAATCAGAGCCTTGGGAAAAATTGCCTTCAAAGCACCCCCAACAAACGGCCAGTCATGACCGACTCTGGGGAGTGATGCTCATCTCCATTTCCAAGCCGAAGAACTGGCATTTAGCGCTCTCCAAATATCATATAATCAAAGAGTTGGAAAAGACCTCGCGCATATGGATATATATATATATATATCCATACCTACACAAAAAACCCCCCCTCTATGCATTGACATAGCGCAATACGTTCCATTTACATAATTGGCCATTTATAACATACACCCAGGCAACGTGTGCCATCCAAACATCAACAAAAAGGGGGATGGGGTGTGGGATTTGCCCCTTGCCCCCTTAGAATCATAGAATCAAAGAGTTGTAAGACCCCCAAGTGTCAATCCTAGAATCGAAGAGTTGGCAGAAGCCATGGGGTTTTGCTTATTGCCCCCCATAGAATCATGGAATCAACGAGTTGGAAGAAGCCCCAGGTGTCCAACATAGATTCAAAGTGTTGGATGAAACCGAATGAACCCTTCAGTCCAATCCCCGACATAAAGGACATCCTGCCACCCAAAACCCCTGACCGGCGGCCATACAGCCTTCACTAAAGAGGGTTGATAAAACACCTCCTGAGACCTCAGTCCCATCCCTGCCAAGCCGCAGGAATGCGCCCCAAAGCTCTCAGAGGGGGCAAACCGGCCACCGTTGAAAATCTCTGCGTTTTAAGCAGGCAGTGGGCCAAAAGCTTTACGTTTTAAGCAGGCACTGGGCCGCACCTAGGGACCATGCACCAGCACGCGCTACGCCGCGCCAAGTACCCAAAATGGCGACTATACACCTGACAAAATGGCGACGGCCATCTAGAACGGCCACCGCCGCTGCCGTGCCGCCTGAAGGCCAAAGCCGGGTATCTGGCAGCGCGCAATGCGGCCGGATCGAGGCCCCGCTTTGCGGCGCTCGTCCAG